CTGAGGATCCCCCGAATTTAATAAACCATGGGAAAAAAGTTTCACCAATGGAGTAGTTATTCCAAATGATAAACAAACTAAAGTTTTTAGAAGTTATTTGAATAATGTTAAAAGAAAACCACCAAACAGTGAAGGAATTATGTATCCTTACAACAACAAAGACGAGTATAGTTTTGACGAAAACTATGAATTTGATGATTTCGATTATCTTTCTAATCAAGAAGGGAATGAAGATTGTTTTAAATGAAGTTGAATGACAATTTCTTCGTTGCCAAAGTCTATGAACCTGTTTTTACCGTCTTTGATTTCCAGATTTATATCTTTGATCATGAAAGAATTGACTGGTAAATAGGTCGTTTGAAACGGTTTCTCTATAATTCTGTATCCGATCGGCACCGTAAAAGTCGGTATGCTGTATATGATTTGACGTTTGTGCTTGTTGAAAAATCCACCGTTGATCAAATTACAGTGAATGTTGATCACGTCGATGTCGTTCTCGATGTTGGCCTTGTGCGGCGCCAATGTCGATTGCGCGTATATTCGTTTATCGAAGCCTAGTAACACATTCAACGAATTTTCTACGTTGAAATCGACTTGACTGTTATTTCTCAAGATCAGTTTTATTTTGTTCAGATTCAGATTACCTTCGAATTCGATATTGTTTTTGCCGTTCACGCTTCCTGCGTATTCGGATAGGTATTCGTTGATGGCTACGTATTCGTAGCTCCCCGGTAGTAAGCTTATGGTTTCGAACGTAACTCCGTTATCCGTCGATATTTTTAGTTGATTGTTTTTTTCGTTGATGTTTCTAATGGAATTGTAAACGGAGAAATACTTTAATCCCAGTTCGTACTGTTTATTGCGATCGAGTTCATACTCGTAGTCTAGAGACAATTTGATGTCTGGTTTATTCGAGGTGATAAAGAACAATTGTTCTTTATTGGACATTTTTAATGACGTTTATATAGTCTTTTTTAGTGTATTGTCTGTCCGATCGATGACCTTCCTTCATGGCCGCTAATATTATTTCTAATCTATTAAGCAATTCTTTATTGTCGTCGGATAAAAACGTTATGCCTTGTCCAGATGCCTCCATATCATCGAATTCGTCTATTTCTTGTATGATTGGTTGATAATCTTCTGCATAATCGCCTGATTTCTCTTCATCAGGAATAACTTTATTTAAATATGTTTCAACTGTTTTCAATCTTCTTGTTTCGGGTCCCGACTTTCTGATCGCATGTAGAAATTTTGAATATGCAACTAAATCCTTGTAATCGGCAATTTCAACATCCTCGCCATTCATTAAATCTATTAATCCTTTCGTTAATGTAAATATAAAGTCTTTTGTGTCGATTTTGAATAAAGGGGAATTTGGACTAAATATAATTCTAAATCCATTAAACAATAAACCTTGATTACTTGATTATCAACGATTGGTGAAATGCTCTTTGGTAAATCTGAGTCAGGGTTTGAAAAAAAACGTTTTATATCAACTAATTCCCTAATTATAATACCATTATATTCAATCGGTTTGGGTTCTATAGGAGGTGTGGGTTCTAAAGCTAATTTCTTTTTAATATCCTCTTGAGATTTTAATATGGGTTGAAATAGAGTTTGTAGATTTTCCGTTAATCCGAGTTGTTGTAATCTGTAATTTTCAAATTGGGTCTTTATTTTATTCTTAGCTTTGATATATTCTCTATTTCTTTTTAAAAAATTATTCCAATCCGTCATTTTAAAAAAAATAAAATTAACATATATTGATCATAACTCTTTCTCCCGCAGGTTTTCTAGTATTTACAAATACATATCCATGATCATCTGGGTTTCTCCATTTAGCTTTACAAACCTTTTTAAATGTATCTCTATCCATTCCGTGATTTATAGACTGAATGATTTGAGATAAATCTTTATCGTTTAATTCAAATAATAAAAAACAATTTGCATTTTTTCTAATGAACATGGAATCCATCCCGTAAAAAGATTGGGATTGGTATATGCAGTGACAGTTGCGATGTCTTCCTTTGGTGAAGAATTCTTGTTGAACAGTTTGATTTCTTTGCGCTACGCAGTCGTCAAACAATATTAAGTTCTTTCGATTGCTATCAATATTAGACAAGTCTAGATCATTAACATTTTTCGTAAGAAAAACTTTTATATCCGTTGGATTGAAAGATGGATTCTTTGATTTAATGAAGTTTTCTATGATATCTTTTATTTCCACTTCTTCTTCTTCGTTTTCCTCGTAATATTGAAATATGTCTTGAACGTCTTTCTTTGGTAAATATTCCAAAGCTTTGAGGAACTGATAATACGATTGCTCTGGTGTTGTTGTGTAGATATACAGAGAATCGAAATCTAAAAGGTTTGGTGTTGTCAACATGTGAGACGAGTTTTCCCAGAACCTGAACTACCGCATATACATATATATATGAGCATTGGGTTATTAGGAAATATTTCTGAATGATTAAATTTTTTGCCCATTTTTATTTATTACATTTTCGTACCAAAAATCACTCCGTTGCCTTTATACTTTGAAAGGAAGATTCCCTCGCCCGAACGTATGTTTTTAAAAAATATGGCGTCACCCTTGTGTTTGACCTTCATTTCTCCGGTGTCGATTTTATCTATTAATTTGCTTAATCCCTCTTTAACGGTTTTCTTGGTTTCTTCGCCAAATCTTTGTCCGAATTCTTTAACCGTCCCTAATATATCTCCTACTCCCGAACCTCCTCGTGCTTCTCTTTCCATTGCCAAATTGTGTCTACGCGCTTCGGCGTTTGCAGCGGCTTCAGCTTTCTTATCGTTGACAGCTTTGGCTATCCCAGCAGCTCCACCAGCAGTTGCACCAGCTGCAGCTAAACCAGCAAAGATTAAAGGTAAGAGGGTAAAAATCCACCTTTTTTAGTTAAATTCTCATCAATTCTTTCCAAGTCTATATCGTCTCTGACTTTGCAATGTTTGTATTTATCGATAATCTTTTGGGTTATGTGCACTTTTTTTACCGTTGTAAGTTATTAGAGTCGGCGAATTCGTTTCCATAGCTTCTATTATTTTCATAACTAAAGTTTCTGGTTTCATTTTTAAAGGGTGTTTTTTTATTCAATTCTTATCATTCTTCTATCTGATATTTTAATCAAATGTTTTGCTTCTTCCAGCAATAAACAATAGCCGGTCACATCTCCTTGTGTTTTATCGATGTGAATATTTATGTTTACCCCTGTTTTGAAAAGATCTTCTTGATGAGCTGACAGATCGAAACAAAAGATTGGATGATTGAGTGAAAAATCTGTGTATTCAAACTGAGGCGTATTTCCAAACAATTCGCACATGTTTTTATAGTTTCTGTACAATTCGTTGTAATCTTTTTTGGAAGGATCAATTGTCAAAGGTTGATTGGGATAATTATCGTTGTTCAATCTGACTTGAACTTTGCGAATGATGGGATCTTGAGTATGGTTCAATGCCACTCTGAAAATGTTGTTGCTGTTTGTCTGAGAGTCTGGCAAGTTTTTGAAACCGACCATTAGATATCTCGCTGGTTTGACGGTGTTGGTGATTGGCCACGTGGTGGATTCTCCCGTTAAAGTCATGCTACCTACCGTGTTACGACGAAGAAAAGCAATTTTGATGTCTTTGGTTAAAGAGTTGAATATTCTCGTTTCTACTTCTACGGAAGGAGTGATTACCGGTATGTAAAGTTGGATATTCGTTATTTCCAATTTAGCGTCAGAGTTGTTTTCACCAAAGAATATCTCGTTGTCGTTGATTTCTCTTTGCAAATGAATTTTATACGGTAAACCTATGGAAACCTTTCTGTGTTCCAAGAGACCAAATAAAGGATACAACTTCCAATTTACGTAATTACCCCGTCTGTTGTTCTCGACGACATTGTTGTATTGAAGTGCTCGTTTTTCAAATCCGTGATTTACTCCGCGAGTCACTCTTTCCAGTGTGTTTCTAGCAACTACCCTTATCCTAGCAAGGTCTGCGTCATTTGCTACAGTTCTGACCGGTTCTTTTAAAACTTCTCCGTCACCGACATAGGGAATCCATACCGAAACTGAATTGTAGTTTTTGGGATACAGAACCGTTTTCAACATTGTGTCAAACTCGCCGGGGTGTTTTATGGTCTCTATCGGATTTGAACCAGCTTCCAAAACCATTTCGCTGAATAAAGACGGAAAGAAGTTGTTTTCTATAGTCGTGTTGGTTTGTGGAATTCGATTCTGAGTGGCGTCTTTGATTTTGAAATCGCATCCGAAATGGGCATCGGAAAGCAGCAACCAATTGGACAACGAATTAATTTCAAAGGTAACTCTTCCTCCGTCGTTTATTTGGGTCTTTGTCCCTACCGATGGTGAGATGATTACGTAATCCTCTTTCTTCTTGTTGAACGAATATTGAATCGGATCATACAATTGAAAGATTGGATCCAATCTGTAATTTTTGCTTGCCATTTTTTATCCAATGATTTTAAACCCTTTTCCTTGTTTTTCTAGGGCTTGTCGTTCTAGTCTCTTGTTTCTTAGTTCTCTTATTAGCTGTAGTTCTTTAAGTTCGTCAGATTTTTTCACTGCATCGCTTATATTTACTCCTGCTTTTGCCACAGATCCAAGAGCTTGCGCTCCTGAGGAAATGAGGGATTTGTTGTTTGAGACAAAATTGGCCACTTTGGGGATGAGAGATGTTAGCGCAGAGAAGAAACCGTCTCCTTCGAATTTTTTTTGTTCATGTTTTAAAATTAAAGACATTTTTAATGCGGTTATTTTATACTGTATTATTATTAGTGATTCTTGTCTGTGGTTTGGGTAGTCTGTTATAATACAGTTTGGAGGAGTCTGTTATAATACATTTTTAACAGTTTGGGGAGTCTGTTATAATACATTTTAACAGTTGTGTCTTTTCGGATATGATGCATTGAAAAAGCTGCGCATGCGCATAAGTGAAATGCGTCATATCCGAAAAGACATATACTACTGGCGATACTGAATAATATTACCAAGTTTCATCAATATCCGTCAAGAACTGTGCCTTCTGGCGTGTTTATGTGCTAAAAATTGAACGCTTTTTTAAGAACAAGGGAAATAACTTAAACTATGTAGTTTTCGATTTTTCTGATTTTCAATAGAGTTTATCCTTGGGTGATAACAATCACTCATGCCAAGTTTTGTCAAAATCTGTTAAGAACTGTGCCTTCTGTAGTGTTTACGGGCTAAAAATTGAACGTGTTTTCAAGAACAAGGGCAATAACTTATACTAAATATTTTTCGATTTTTCTGATTTTTAATAGGATTTATCCTTGGGTGATAACAATCACTCATGCCAAGTTTTGTCAAAATCTGTCAAGAACTGTGCCTTCTGTAGTGTTTACGGGCTAAAAATTGAACGTGTTTTCAAGAACAAGGGCAATAACTTATACTAAATATTTTTCGATTTTTCTGATTTTTAATAGGATTTATCCTTGGGTGATAACAATCACTCATGCCAAGTTTTGTCAAAATCTGTCAAGAACTGTGCCTTCTGTAGTGTTTACGGGCTAAAAATTGAACGTGTTTTCAAGAACAAGGGCAATAACTTATACTAAATATTTTTCGATTTTTCTGATTTTTAATAGGATTTATCCTTGGGTGATAACAAACACTCATGCCAAGTTTCATCAACACTAGAACATGCTTAAAAAACACTGTGTTACATTTCATGAACATTTTACAAAGAAGGTTTAAATTTATGTCATATCAGATGGAACAATGTTCTCTCATATCAAATGAGTTAAGATAGCTTGCCAGGCAAGGTAATATACGCCCACTGGCAGCTTTAATTTTGAATAAAAATATTTAGCAGTATGTAACAATCACCAGTATGAAATATTCAGCCTTCAGTCATACTTAAGGCGATACTGAATAATATTGGGTATGAGTTATTTCCCTTGTTCTTGAAAACGTATTCAATTTTTAGCTCATGAAAACTCTAGAAGGCAAATATTCAATCTTCAGCGCAGGACTGAATAATAAAACCAAGTTTTGTCAAAATCCAGCAAGAATCATGCCTTTTAGTGTTGAAGAGCTAAATTTGAAAGCGTTTTCAAGAACAAGGGCAATAACTTATACTAAATATTTTTCGTTTTTTGACTACATTTTGTTATCTTAGTTTTCTACCAAGCCCATCCCAATGATGTTATTTTTTCACCAATTAAAGGGTATTATGTAAAACCTGTTTCTAAATATAGGGAATTGTGGGATAGCAAAGCTCCAAGAGGCTGTCATCGTGCTCTACTTTCAGTTTAATGTTCCACATTTCCTTATTAATTTAGAGCCACTTCTGAAGAGTTTTGTTCCTAAAACATATCATTTAGTTTCATTAAAGTCTTCAAGGACTTGTTAAAGTACATCTTGAACTTGTAATCAATCTTGTCATTAAGTTTAATGAAAACTGCATTTAAATTGACAAACAAATACACAAAGATAAAAACAATATATAATATGTCATTTAACATTTAAAAATAAATTATATCAGGACACCAGTATCCAAGTTCCATCAGGTTGTTTTTTATATCGTCGTGCTCCACCATGAGAGAAATGTGACTTCATTGGATTAGGATAATCTCTAATCTGTATAAAGGCTGCACGAACAGAGTCTTCAAAACCTTCAGGTTCCTGTTCTGGTGATGTAGATAGATGCTGGAACAAAACAAAATGGCATATGATGTGACAATCTATTTGCAGATTTTTTATACGCCCACATGAAATTGGGGGGGGGGGGGGGGGGGGGGGGGGGGCGTATATTGTCGTCACCCATGTCCGTCCGTCCACAATTGCTCGTAAACAATCTACAAGGCACAATTCTTGACTGATTTTGACGAAACTTGGTATGGTTGTTTGTAATCACCCAAGGATGAACCCTATTGAAAATCAAAAACATCAAAAAATATTTAGTATTAGTTATTTCCCTTGATCTTGAAACGCTCGTAAACACTCTAGAAGGTGCAATTCATGACAGATTTTGACGAAACTTGTTGTGAGTGTTTGTTATCACCCAAGGATGAAACCTATTTTAAATCAGAAAGATCGAAAAATATTTAGTATTAGTTATTTCCCTTGTTCTTGAAACGCTCGTAAACACTCTAGAAGGTGCAATTCATGACAGATTTTGATGAAACTTGTTGTGAGTGTTTGTTATCACCCAAGGATGAAACCTATTTTAAATCAGAAAGATCGAAAAATAATTAGTATGAGTTATTGCCCTTGTTCTTGAAAACGCGTTCAAATTAGCTTGGAAACACTCTAGAAGGCACAATTCTTGATGGATTTGACGAAACTTGGGGTGAGTATTCGTTATCACCCATGGATAAATCCTATTTAAAATCAGAAAAATCGAAAAATATTTAGAATGAGTTATTGCCCTTGTTCTTTAAAACGCGTGCAATTTTTAGCTTGCAAACGTGCCCTTCATAATGTGCACCATATACTAGTGTTGAAACGGTTAGTGAATTTTATGAACCTGGTTATCGTCGGCAATAACCGTTTGTTACCCGGTTAATTACTAAAGATTATGAAAAGAGTGAAAAACCGCATTTGCGGCGGTAATTCACCGTTAACTAAACGAGTAATTGTAAATGAGTACCCAGGAAGATTTTGGCTAGTTCCCCGCGAATTGTGAGTACAAATCGACAGATACCATGTAAGATTACAAGTGGGTCTGACAGATCAAAGGTTTTTATACCTATTGTGGGGTCAGTGTAATCTCATTGAAGTCACGGCCCGCGAATCAGTGCACTGGTTCCACAAATGGTATAAAATTATTGTCTCAATGAATCGGTTCTCATGAATATTAATAAGCTTGAAGCTGATTGACAGGCTAGAAGAAACAAACAGCCGATTAGAGGAGAGTTAATAAAAAGTAATACGATCTTTATAACTGTTTTATTCTAAGCAACTCGTACCCCGATTGAAATAATAAAAATAATAACAAAACCTATCAAAACACTAGAACATGCTTAAAAAACACTGTGTTACATTTCCGCAATTCAATACTACCCCAAATCGGTTAACTGATTAACCGTTTCAACACTACCATATACTCCTATGTGAACTCAAAACAAAATGGTGAACAGTGCCTACCTTTCTTATAACATGATTAGGTAATCTACAATAATAGTCTACATTCTGTTGAGACGTGTAGGAGAATGGACCAATAGAAAGCTGTTTATTGATAGGATCATAAATATTTAACATCTACAATAAAACAGTTTAAGTTATGATGTGTCAACTTTACGTACGGTGGTTCTTTACAAATTGTCCAAGGTTTATTGAGCATTAACATTTTACAAAGAAGGTTTAAATTTATGTCATATCAGATGGAACAATGTTCTTTCATATCAAATGAGTTAAGATAGCTTGCCAGGCAAGGTAATATACGCCCACTGGCAGCTTTGATTTTGAATAAAAATATTTAGCAGTACGTAACAATCACCAGTATGAAATATTCAGCCTTCAGTCATACTTAGGTCGATACTGAATAATATTGGGTATGAGTTATTTCCCTTGTTCTTGAAAACATATTCAATTTTTAGCTCGTGAAAACTCTAGAAGGCAACATTCAATCTTCAGCGCAGGACTGAATAATAAAACCAAGTTTTGTCAAAATCCAGCAAGAATCATGCCTTTTAGTGTTTAAGAGCTAATTTTGAAAGCGTTTTCAAGAACAAGGGAAATAACTTATACTAAATATTTTTCGATTTTTCTGATTTTCAATAGGTTTATCCATGGGTGATAACCAACACTCATGCCAAGTTTCGTCAAAATCCGTCAAGAATTGTGCCTTCTAGAGTGTTTATGAACTAAAAATTGAACGCGTTTTCAAGAACAAGGGCAATAACTCATACTGAATATTTTTAAATTTTTCTGATTTTCAGTAGGGTTCATCCTTGGGTGATTACAAACAACCATACCAAGTTTCATCGTAGTCAGTCAAGAATTGTGCCTTGTAGAGTGTTTATGAGCAATTGGGGACGGACCGACGGACAGACAAGACAGACCGACAGACCGACGGAATGAGGTGACGGCAATATACACCCCCCATTTCATGTGGGCGTATAATAAAACCTATGGCTTCAAATTATTTGACTTACTTCATGACCTCCTGTAAAATGTCGAGCTGACCTCAATGGTTGATCTGGACCTTTATCAGTAAATCTGGCTTTATAAATTTCACCAGTGTTCACGTTTACTGCTAAAAAAGATATAAATAGTTTTGACATATTCATCTTGTTTTCACAGACCTTGTCTTGTTACTATTTCACAAATAAGTTTTGAAGGAAAATCACTAGATAAAAATGTTGCAAGAAATAATTTTTAAAATTAAACTCTTAAATTTCTACTTTAATGTAGCAGTGCCGCCTAGCTGCAAGATACTTCTTTTCTCCCATTGAACATTAATTTACAGATTTTTGGTTTTTCCATTAATATCAATATCAATCATTAATCCCAGTGTTATGTTATATAGTGTATCAATAACAATATGATTTTCACAACCACTTAAACATTGAAGCCTTGAGTTTATTTGAAAATTAAAAGTTACTTAAGGATATATAGGCATTATGTGATCATTTACAATTCTACCTTAAATTTGAATTTCAGTTCATACCTTACTTAATTATATGTAAAATACAGATGTGATGTCACCCTTTCCAACATAATGGTACTGGTAAATGGTCAATATTGGACTCTTGGTCCTTTGCCAAGTAAATGTGACCTGTTTTATAAATGTATTTACAATTGACTCTGCTTCAAATAGTATGTGAACACTAGCCATTATATATATATGTATGTGGGTTAGAGTATCATCTAAATTTTATTCTTCAATCATACATAGGGAAAGGTAAACTAGCTTAAATAATAATATTATTCTTATTATCTCAAATTTCGATCAGAGACTAATTCCGATAGCTGAATCAAGAGTATTTATGCCATTTTCAGAAATAATGTACTAAAATTATCTTCATAAACAACACTAAATTTATCAATTTGATACGGCCAAGGATAGAATAATTCTAATAGCTCGGTCAATACTGTCATCCTTATCACTAATTGCTAATGACATTTAGCAATGCAAAGTGCTCGGATGCCCTCTCTACGCCACTGGATATGAATGTTGTATTTTGATTCTGAAATACTTGAATGAGACATATAAGGGGAAACATATTCAAATTGTAATCCTTGAATCACAGTCCAGATTTACGAAATGAAATAAGTAAAATACCCATTTTAATCCATATCCATAACAACAAAGCAATAAGGGAATAATAGTATACATTTTTTATCAATCCTAAACAGACATTTTCTGCTTTTAAGTCATGTAATTTGAGCTCATGTGATGTATATTATTGCCTGAGTAGATTTTATTGTTTGTGAAGTGTATTTTAAGTTGGTTAATGGTCTCAAGCTTGTCAATACGTCTAATAATGACGTAGTACACTGACCTTTGGTCCTCGTACCACGATCATAATTAGACTTATTGACAAGCTTTCGACCATTCACCTATACATACATGTGACAGTCAACATACCTATTCCATATATAACTGGGAATGGTGTGCCATTGATATAGGTTGTATTTAAATCTGAAATCAGAGCAATAAAAAGTGATTTTTTAGGGAAAATACATGTGTACAATCTGGTGTAAAAAACCATTCTTACAAAAATTAAATTGGTTTTCCTCCCTATATACAGTGGTGTAATCTATTTTCGTGATATAAGGATTCAACACCAAATTTCGTCAAAGTTAAAAAAACGAATTTTTTTTTATGTCTTAGATGTTTCCTCAGATATTCTACAAAATAATTAAAATTGGTTTATTTCGATTTTCTTTATGAATCCTTCACTTTGACCCATATTTCATGAGCAACCAACTCGGCAACGGCGGCAGAATGTGTCACCTATTTTCGTGTACAATGTTTGATCTATAAATAAGTCTAGAAAAACACGTATGGATACCTGGTGGTATAATTAACTTCTCTTAGTATTTATCTTTAATATCAATTCAGTATAACTAGTGACAATTCCTTCAAAGAACCACGATTTTAAAAAAAAAATAGTGACTGACAAAATAAGATACGTAGCGTGATTTATTGCTAAAAGTCACCGAGACAACATAAGAATATGGTCCACTTTGTGTTCCATAGAAATTTTCTACTGACACGGAATCCGCTAATTGATCACGTGACTTCATTTGTTGGACTACATTCTAGCAGACGACACTTGGAATTCCGATTACCGCTTGGGATTATAAGGAAATTCGGCCGATAAAAAATGATGACGTTTGGTAATAAGTGAAATCCACCATTTTGTATTTGTCAAAGTATACATTAATACATTTTACCTTGCTTGAAACTACTGGATTCATTCTACTAGCTGAGATTGTACAGAAAACCCATGTTTATCAAAACAAGCAGATGCGGAGGTAGCACATGTAAATTATTAATAATTTCCAGAAATCCACGAAAATAAAGGTTACCACGAAATTAGGTTACTTGACACTTAACTACATCATCACAATGAGTACCAGAAACTCACCTGTGATACAAGCTGTTACAAGGTGGACATCTTCCTCCAATCTACACAAACAATCTGAAAGTATCAACCCATGACTATCACAGCCCTAGAGTCTTGACTTTCATGTCATATTTCATCACATATATGCCTACAAACAATGGAAGGCCACTCCATTGCCATTGTTTTGTTTAAAGTAATATATGTCATATGATGCTAAGTTAGATAGCAATCATTTTCAGATAAACATATTTCAACAGTATTATTGGCATTTCAATCAAACTAACGATATTAAATGGAGATAAATGCACAAGTAATGTAGGTACTCACTTAATATTTCTAGAGATAGCTTTTGTGATAGATTTCTAGAATCTTTAAATCCTCCCAATAAATGAATTTCTATTCTGAAATATCAAATAATAAATCCTAATGACTCTAATAAATAGTCTTGTGTAACAAACTGTCTTTTGTAACAAACTGTCTTTTAGTAATGTCTAATGCTGGGGGCACACTAACTGTTTTGGTCAGAGATTTTTGTCACCAATGTGAATCTTGAGTAAATTCTCTTGTGTGCCCATGACAAGATTATTGTTTTTCACCGATTTTGAACATCAAACCATTTTGATCTTTGATTTTTCCTCGTTAACAATTGTTTTATTCATGTTAATGCACTTACAATGAGGCAAGACTTTACATAGCATCATAATCCAATTTGATTCATTCTCACTTCAATTGCATGATCATCACATGATTTATCATATGGGAAGACGACTGATTGGAGTTTTTTGTCTCCTTGTGTGCCCTCAGCCAGCTGGTGAAACTCTTGACAAGACTCTAGTGTCAGAATAAAATATTAACTTTAACCCCAGGGAACCTAAAGATTACATTCCAGATGGATGTTCCCATAGAAAATAATCCTTCAAAACTTTTAAGTTCTCGGATATATATTATGATTTAATCAATACATTTTTACTTTACCTTTCCTGAAAACTTCATCAAATCGACTTTGAAACATAACTCATATGATGATAATTAAAATTGTACAAATGATATCTTTGATATTGCCATGTTCCAAGCTATTTCTCAAATTGTTTGAAATACATACTTTCCTTCTTGAGCACCTTTTGATAAATCTAACAACAAGGAGATCATGTCTTTAATACCTTGTTCAGTACCGCATCCATCAAAATGACTGACACAAACACTACCAGACCCTTAAATAGCAAATTATTCCATAAATACATTTTACCATGAAATGAAACTTGATAGAATAGTTTTGCATAATAGTTCAGTGGTTAGGTTTATTCAAAAAATATTTTCTAAATTTTGACACAAAATGGCTCTGACCTGTATGTCTAAAAACTGCAAGGTGACACGTAGTGGCATCTTCACTTCCAATTACATTAATTACATCTACAATAAAATTAGTATTTAGTATGTGTGAAATATTTTAAATATCAATAAGTTTTAATGAAGTGCATACCATTATAAATACATTTTAAGATTTTTATGGATATCATCATTAGTATTAAGCTAATTAACCTCAATTTCACTGCTGTTGCAATTTTTATTTCAACAGTTACATTTATCCATAAGAGATTAAAATAAGTTCTATACCATCAGTTGGAGATGTTCCAGCAAATTCTCTCTGACCAACATAGAGCAATCCATGACCATTTACATTTTGAGTCTGACTTGCACATAAACTTTTGGCTGATTCCTTTAAAGACCAGTTGATGTATCAATATAGGCTTGATATGCGGTATTTAATAATAGATTTAGGAGATATTAAAGAAATAAACTTCTATCTAAGGATTAAAAATAAAAGTGTATCTACTTTCACAAAAACAGTCAAAATGAATTTTGCCATCTGAGTTGAGTTGAGACTTGTTTACATATTGGTTGTTAATCACACTCTTTTGGCTGTATTTGTTACCTCTGGGAAATATGCTAATGTCGCTGTCCTGGCAAAATTTGACCTCATTGCACCCTGCATGGCGTTGCCCGTCTTCATTAGCCCACATGGTACAGAAAAGTAGGACATAAAACTCCATTCATTTCATTTCATTTCTGGGAAATATGGAAAATACCAACTGCCTTAATTTCAAATAACATAACTTCAAAATTATGCTTGGTAGTCTTGTTTTCTACTTTAGAACTTGGGTAGCTAAAATTACAGTCAAGTAACCTAATTTCGTGCTAACCTATTTTTCGTGCATCTCCGGAAATTATAAATAATTAACATGCACGACCTTGCATGACCTCTGCATTTGCTTGTTTTGATAAACAAGGGTTATCTGTACAATGTCAGCTAGTAGAATGAATCCAGTAGTTTCAAGCAAGGTAAAATGTATTAATGTATACTTTGACATAAACAAAATGACAGATTTCAGTTATTACCAAATATCACAATTTTTTTATCGGCCAAATTTCCTTATAATCCCAAGCTGTAATCGGAATTCCAAGTGTCGTCTGCTAGGATATATTCCAGCGAACGATGTCACATGATAAACTAGCGGATTCTGTGTCAGCAGAAAAATTCTATGGAACACAATGTGGGCTATATTCTTTTGTTGTTTCAATGACTTTTAGCAATAAATCACTCTTCCGTTTTACTTATCTAATATTGTCAGTCAATATTTATTTTTAAATATGAATTTTTTTATCGGCCAAATTTCCTTATAATCCCAAGCTGTAATCGGAATTCCAAGTGTCGTCTGCTAGGATATATTCTAGCAAACGATGTCACATGATAAACTAGCGGATTCTGTGTCAGCAGAAAAATTCTATGGAACACAATGTGGGCTATATTCTTTTGTTGTTTCAATGACTTTTAGCAATAAATCACTCTTCCGTTTTACTTATCTAATATTGTCAGTCAATATTTATTTTTAAATATGAAGGAATTGTCACTAGTTATAATGAAATATTGTTAAAGATAAATACTAAGAGAAGTTAATTATAATACCACTGGATATCCATACAACGTGTTTTTCGTGACTTATTTATGGATCAAACATTGTACACGAAAATAGGTGACGCATTTTGCCGCTGTTGTCGAGTTGGTTACTAATGAAATATGGGTCAAAGTGAGGGATTCATAAAGGAAATCGAAACAAAGCAATTTTAATTACTTTATAGAATATCTGTTGAAACATCTAAGACATATAAAATTCAGCGTTGAATATGTACGAATATAGGTTACACCACTGTATCAAGTTCACAACTTATGTCTATGACGTCATCTGACCAGTTGTGACTTATCAATGTTGTGCAACTGAATTGTATAATCAACACATGAGATATAATTTTTAAGCAAATATATTTCTCTCTAGAGCGCATGAGTCTGTTCTGATTTTGAGGTAATTACAACTTCCTCATAATACGAAACTTCCCTGTTCCAAGAGGTAACAAATAGGCCTACCTACACTTACAGTCTACAGCATAAATATGGAAATGAATACCTGAAAACTGGGATAACTCTCCAAAAACAGACCTATTGTTGATGGAACAAAACCAACACGACTACCAACGGCATATAAAGGCATTTCTTTTATCTGTTAAGAGACTAAACTTATAAATTTATACAAATGAAATAGGCCTAGTACATTCTACTTTCGCCAGTTTCGGTTTTATGATAGACTGGATATACTGGCAATATTGACAACTACACATAATACTTCATCAACACCTTACTTAATAGATTATTTCATGCCAAATGACAAATGCTCATTTGATGTAAGAGTTATCTATTTCATCTTTTAATCTTTTTTGATAAACTGTTTACTTTGACGATAACTTACATCCGCTACTGCGCATGGAAAGAAACGCCCTTGAAGCGGAAGTTGATATCCCCGTGTTACCCACGTTCAACTTCCTCTTTTTCCGTTCGACTTCTATTTGGCTTCAACACGAAGTAAGGAGCTCTCTAAAATTCATGATTAATCTCTCACTTTTTCAATAAATAAACTACTGTATTCCATTATTACCTTATTTTATTTACTATCTAACGAAAATAATCAAAATATTATGTCATACATACACTTGAAAGCTAGAAATTCAATTTCGAAGATTGGTTAAATGCGGCCTGTTCGTACCCACAACCCACAACCACTATCATTACAAATTTAGGTAGTTCTAGTAGAGAAGGGTCGAACAATCAAGTAAATTGATAAGCAGTAGACTACTTGTTGAATCCTTGGCATCCTGACACTCCTGAAACTCACTTAATTAGTTAATATTAGTTTAATAATTATGAGGCTGTCGGGCGTGACTATATTGCCACTATAACAGTGGTGTAACCTATTTTTGTGGATATAAGGATTCAACACCGAATTTCGTCAAAGTTAAAAAAAAAGAAATTTTTTTACGTCTAAGATGTTTCCTCAGATATTCTACAAAATAATTAAAATTGGTTTATTTCGATTTTCTGTATGAATCCTTCACTTTCCATGTATCATGAGCAACCAACTCGGCAACGGCTGCAGAATGCGTCACCTATTTTCGTATACAATGTTTGATCTATAAATAAGTCTAGAAAAACACGTATGGATACCCAGTGACATAATTAACTTCTCTTAGTATTTATTTTTTAATATCAATTCATTATAACTAGTGACAATTCCTTCAAAGAACCACGATTTAAAAAAAATAATAGTGACTGAAAAAATAAGATACGTAGCGTGATTTATTGTTAAAAGTCACTGAAACAACATAAGAATATGGTTCACTTTGTGTTCCATAGAAATTTTCTGTTGACACTGATTCTACTAGTTGATCACGTGACTTCATTCGTTGGACTACATTCTATCAGACGACACTTGGAATTCCGATTACCGCTTGATATTATAAGGAAATTCGGCCGATAAAAAAAATGGTGACGTTTGGTAATAAGTGAAATCTGCCATTTTGTATTTGTTAAAGTATACATTAATACATTTTACCTTGCTTGAAACTACTGGATTCATTCTACTGGGTGATATTGTACAGAAAACCCATGTTTATAAAAACAATATAATGCGGAGGTCAGACGAGGTCGCACATGTAAATTATTAAACATTTCCGGAAATCCACGAATAATAGGTTTCCACGATATTAGGTTACTGAATAATCTGCATTTTGATCAAAATTGTTTCCGTCTTCATGCAAGTCATAATTTGCTATTGCCTTCTCAAGGCTGCAACCAATTACATCTGTTTTTCAACAGGTTCAGTTGAAATCTTGAATATAAATCGTATAGGGACGGGTGCGCCAGTTTGGGGGTTGATTTTAGACATAAATATGTCTTCTGAAGTACTAAAAATGTACAAAAATTGCATTATTCCTTTATAAAAACTTCAGACTGGGAATTTTACTCTATTTCTATAAATGTCTTTTCTATCATAGTATCTTAGATTGACGAGTCATCATTTTAACATTCAATCACAGGTAAGTCTGGACACACATGGATTTGAAGGCTCAAATTTCGACTGTGAGCTGTAAACACTATTACAGATTGGCCAAGCTGAAAAATTTATGTTTTTGACTTTATGAGAATAACGTATCAGAAAGTCAGTTTACTTACATGTTCAACATTTTATAAAAAATTTTTCCAGGTTGATCACCGTAACTCTAGATCGACTCTACGATGTCCGGAGGTTTGGACGTACTAGCCCTCAAGGAGGAGGATGTTACTAAATTCCTTGTTTGTGGAACCCATTTAGGGGCTACTAATTGTAATCATCAAATGAAACAATATGTTTTCAAAAGAAAACCTGATGGTATGTAGTTTACTTTAAAGTTTTGCCAGTTTCATAGAAATGAATAATAAATTTTCTTCATAATATCTTTTCTTTTGATTTTATTCATAGTTGCAGTAACTTAAAGTGATCATCCTGTTTATAAATTTATTCCACAAAGTAATGCCACTGTCTAATTCTATTTCGAGTCGAGTCATCCTTAAAGGATTTATGCCAAGTTGCTCTTTTACGTTGGAAATATTTCAGATACACTGTCATTATTGCATTCGTATCGATTTTACCGCAAAAAAATATTTTTATTTACCACTTTTTTTCATTTAAAAAGGCTAATTTAGCGCTTCTCAAATTATGCATATTTCCGCCACTACTCGGGAATCTTCGGTTGATTCATACTAGACATATGTTCTGATGCCGCCATTGAATCATAAGCAAAATGTTCACACAACTTAATTTTCATATGGTGTACTGTGTGGCATTGACCAGTACTTACTCGTGAATTGGCTCATTGTCATCTATAGGTCTGTCAACTTCAACAAACTCCATTAGCGATACATCTAGAACATCTCTATTGAGACAATTCGCCCTGAACCCGGAATGTTGACAAATGCACGGCTGCATCTCCTCCAGCGCTTTGTTCTATGTCATTAACCTCTTTACAGCAAAGGCTCTCAAGTGTTGTTGGCATTTCTCTACACAATCCACAAAGGCAGCTATTTAATAAGTTATATCTGTATTTCAACATGATGGCCACATTCAATCAATGTTTACCGAAATACAGACTGAGTCTAGTCTCTGACGTCCAGACTAACCCCATCTACGACGAAGCTGTACGTAGACAAATAGAGACTGGATGGTGGAGGCTACGTATTCAGGTACTTGACCTTTTGAACAGCACCGCCATATTAACACTGACATTATGTGATGATAATAATAGGCCTACTACGGTTTGGAGATATATCCAATATGCTTATTTCTTTTTCATTTTCTTTTGAAATGGATATCAATGAGCTTCTGCAATGTTAATTATCATTGCTTTTAACCTGATAGTTTATGGTGACGACTGTTTAAACTCTATCCACTTACCATCTGTAGTACCGATTCGGGCGTTTGTAGAAAAAGAATCGGTTTCGTTGTCTGAGAAATCGGAATTGTCAGAGCTTCCAGAGCTATCAGAATATTTTAGTACTAATCGTTTGTCTTCCACAAGTGACTCAAACTGATATGGCTGGATATTTAGGTCGAAATTGTTGGATTCCATGGCAGCAATGAAAGTGAAAGATCGATGTATGCAAGGCTTCAACTATAGACGGCAGGCTGCCAGTCTATCGAGTGTCGTCTATGACGTCATAGATCAGCGGACTGCTAGCCTAATTAACTCTCGGCTGGAAAGCGTCAAAAATATTGTTCTGGGAGACATTTTTAAGCCCTTGTCAATGATTATAGGTAAAAATCATTGTAATTAAGGGGAAATTTTACGTTTGGCATAAATCCTTTAATAATGGTTGATTTTAAATTTTGTCAAGACATTTATTTAATGTTTGTATAAAATATGTTCTAGGTATTCATATCATCAACTTAAGAAAAACTTGGGAAAAACTTTTACTTGCTGCCAGAATTATCGCCGCTGTAGAAAATCCAGCTGATATTTCTGTCCTCTCTGCTAGACCTTATGGTCAGAGAGCTATCTTGAAATTTGCTACCTATATTGGTGCTACCCCAATTGCTGGCCGTTTTGTTCCTGGTACATTCACTAACCAGATTCAGGTGAGTGCAGTATTCAACAGTATGGAAACGTGTTATTTGATATTAAAGTAAATCTAAATTGAAGTTAAATTTGATGAAAGTATTGATATATATGTTAACACTTGAAATATGAATATTAAATTTTATAAAGGGATCTTTTTACACCACCAAGGACATTCTAAAGTATAATACACTCTTAGATAATTGTGTAATATTTAATCCTTGACAAGAAAAGTGAATAAGCTTTTACCAAAGGGTGCCACTGCAAGATAAAATTATGTGTTGAATTTCAGGCTGCCTACAGAGAACCAAGATTGATTGTAGCTACTGATCCAAGAACTGATCATCAGCCCATTACTGAAGCTTCTTACATTAATGCTCCTATTATATCATTATGTAATACTGATTCACCATTGAGACATATTGATATTGCCATCCCTTGTAACAATAAGGTAAGGTTGAAATGTTGCTTACACTTGAAGTGTATTTAAACAAATGCTTTTAAGATATTCATTCTGTTCTGGCCCGGTTAGTTAAGCTCAGAAACTATTTCTTGGTTAAAGAAGCTAGACAAAATTTCCTAGTATATAATTTGTGGTGTTTATTTTCAGGGTGTTCATTCCATTGGTTTGGTCTGGTGGTTGTTGACAAGAGAGGTCCTTCGTCTTCGTGGTACCATCAGCAGAGAACATCCATGGGAAATCATGGTGGATCTGTTCTTCTACAGAGATCCTGAAGAGGTTAGTAATATTCTGATTTGATTTAAACTTAAATACCTCATTTCACTTTATTACTGTCTGAAAACTAATAGAACTGTATTTTAAGATGGTTGAAAGATTGGTTGGAATGAACCAAAATATATATGTCAACTTTCTCAGAATTTGTACTTATTCTATTTCAGATTGAGAAAGAAGAAAGAGAAGCCCAAGAAAAGGCTGCTGCAGCTAAAGATAACCCTGATGAGGTTTGGCCAGATTCTGGTGCTGCACCTCCTGCCATTACATCTACTGAAGTTACTGACTGGGCCAGTGAATCTATTCCAGTTGCTAACCCATTACCAAGTTTTGCTGGTAACACAGATTGGTCAGGTCCCAGTGGAGAAAAAGAATGGACTGGTACTGCACCACCTTCTGGAGAAAAAGAATGGGCTGCTCAACCTGCTGCTCCTGCAGCAGCTCCTGCTAATGATTGGGGAGGAGGAAGTGGTGAACAATGGTAAACATCAATACACTCGGATGTAAAATGTTAACTCCAAGAAATAAAACTTGAATTCATAATCGTTTTAATTTATCCTCATCTATGTAGATTTTTATTTTTTTGGCAGCCATGTTTGTCGATCAGTGCAATGCTTTCAGAATTTAACCTCTGAACTGGCATATTGAAATATCGCTCATGTTTTCAATTTGTAACAAAACTTGGTATTTGAAAACCATAAAAAGATAGCTTGCCAGGCAAGATAACATACGCCCACTACCAGCTGTCAGAAATGATAGTCTTGAGTGGCTTAATAATAAATTTTCAAATAATCTTAAAATCATCTATAAGCAAAAATGTGAAACAGTTAAAGCTATCATCAAATTCAAACATGAACAATGTCTCATCGTTGTACCCACAAGGGCAATAACACGGAAACTGTTTATCCGATTATTGCTTATTTCTAACTTGACTGAGATCTCATCATGCATATCTAGTTTCATCAAGATTGGATAAAAACTGTAATCCCTATCGTGCCTACAAGTCGAATTTGATGAAGTTTTTACTAAGTCAAGGGCAATAACTCCGAAACCCTTCATCTCATCAATATATACGTGCATACATAGTTTCATCTCAGTTGGATAAAAACTGTAGTCTCTAACGTGCGTACGAGTCAAATTTGACGCGCTTTACTAAGACAAGGGCAATAACTCAGAAACCGTAGATCTGATTATTAAAAAATTCAAGCTTGACTGAGATCTCATTAATATATACATGCATACCAAGTTTCATCAAGATCAGATAAAAACTGTAGCCTCTATGCTCCTACAAGAAATGTGAACGGACGTACATGGGCGACGGCAATATACGTCCACATTTTCATGTGAGTGTATAAAAATGAAGATTGCAAGAAAGTTACATTGGTTTGATTTTTTTGGCTTGCTTACTCTTAAGATCTAACCTGGCAAAGGTTGAGACCTATTTTTGACAGGGTTACACTTTTCACAAAAACTAGTATATTTTACGTTGGTTCAAGCAATGTCTCTCACACAATTGACATACAAAAAGCTGTTTAAATGTCCCAAGAATATATTTTCATTCATATAATGTAATAACAACCCATTTAAAAATAAACTAATCTGAATTTAAGTGAAATCTAAGAAGTCCGAAATAACCTAGCATATAGACTTTCTCGACGCAACAGTATTCAAAGGACTGGATTTTAATGTACCATTAACTAGTAAGGGATATATCAAAGTTCATGTTAAACTATTTCATCCAAAAAAACACTTTTTCGGGAATTGAGTCACTAATTCTGCGCTTCCACAAACAATGCACGTCGAATAGTTTTTAAAACACTGCAACAGCGGGGCTCTTTCTTAGCAGCATTAAACGTAACACTCTTTCAGAAATTGATACATAATCAATCTTTTAAATCGTACGCAAGAATATTTTAACAACCGGTAGTTTCTCCAATAAAATAAACGGCATACAATTTTCGATAAACAGTCCACTAGTGCTAACATAATTAACTAATATCTTGCGAAAAATTTCCAAAACAATACGTGGGAGATACAAAAAATATCATTTAAGAGAACGAATAATTAACGGGTCAACGATTCGATATCACCCATCGTCTTGATAAACCCACTGGAAATCATTTTAACTCCATTAAGTCCATGCTGAATTTGGTTTTCTTTAAATGGGTATTAAGGGAGCCGCGGTGGCTCAGTGAGTTAGACGCTTGCTCACCTGAAGGTCCAGGGTCCAATCCTGGCGAATGTAGGTAATTAGGTCACAGGTAAATCGGTCACAGTAAAAAGGTCACACGGTAATTTGGACACAGTAAAAAGGTCACACGGTAATTTGGTCACAGTAAAAAAGTCATACGGTAATTTGGTCACAGTAATACGGTCACATGGTAATTTGGTCACAGTAATAAGGTCACACGGTAATTCGGTCACAGTAAAAGGGCCACACGGTAATTTGGTCACAGTAAAAAGGTCACATGGTATTTTGGTCACAGTAAAAAGGTCACATGGTAATTTGGTTACAGTAATAAGGTCACACGGTAATTTGGTCACAGTAAAAAAGTCACACGGTAATTTGGTCACAATAATACTGTCACATAGTAATTTGGTCACAGTAAAATTACCCATTTTCAGTGGTGTTGGTCATCTTATTCATATCAACCGCTTGTAGTTGATAACTAGATTCAATAGATGGTTGAGGACGGGCAATGTCACAACTTAAGTAGGTTCGTGACTTTGCCCCCGACTTAGCACAAAATTTATTGAAATTGACTTTTAATTCAAATTTTTTTTCTGATTCGATTGAAACCTAGTTTACCTGTGTATATTGGGTACATGGAAGTAGTGATGCTATTTAAAAGGCGAAAGCCGCGATGAGATTTGCTGCTGGTGGGCGTATAGCCATGAGGGCGTCCGCTCGTATATATTAGCACCGTTGCTCGTAAATTTCCACGCCTGTCCCAATGACCTGAGCGTTTTCAATTTTCGGGTAAGTTGAGATGGGCGCCCTTCAGATACGTGAGATACGCGAGAAGCATCTCACCCTACCCCCACCCGAAAATCGAAAAGAATCTGCTTTGAAACGCTCACGTTATTGGTACAGGCACGGAAATTTATGAGTAGTGGAGATTATATATAAAATACATATTAAATCAACTTCATTGCTGAAGTCCATACTGGATGATTTCACAGGCTGCATTCAGTTAGTGAGAATTCTGTAATTTGGAATGGCGAGAGTCGGCAAAAGTTAAACGGTGGTATGGCTTGCAAGCTTAAAAGGCAGACCGGTGGCAGGTTGTATCAGCAATAACTATATAGCTGCAGATTGACAGGTATACCAAATACTGTTCGACCGTTCAGGGCCCCACAAGGTCCACCCATCTCTGGCAGAGGGCAAGCAGAACACTATATTATGTATTATGAAATAAATATCACTACACCAGTTACCAGTAATTTCTTTCTACTAGTTTTGCCTTGACCAGATCACTGTGTGACCATATTACTGTGACCAAATTACCGCGTGACCTTATTACTGTGACCAAATTACCGTGTGACCGTATTACTGTGACCAAATTACCATGTGACCCTTTTACTGTGACCAAATGACCGTGTGACTTTTTTTACTGTGACCAAATTACCGTGTGACCGTATTACTGTGACCAAATTACCATGTGACCCTTTTACTGTGTGACCTTTTTACTGTGACCAAATTACCGTGTGACCAAATTACCATGTGACCTTATTACTGTGACCAAATTACCGTGTGACCTTTTTACTGTGACCAAAGTTCTGGTGACTTAATTACCGTGCCCCATCCCGGCATAGGTCGAGGTAATACCTTCGGATTTTTCAGTGATGCAGGTACGAGGGGCTGACATGGAAAAAGCATCCAGTCGTTCCGATGCGACAATAAACCGAGGCCCCTTGTGCTACAGGCTGTGCGCGTTAAAGATCCCTCGACAGTTGGAAATTGAAAAAGAGCAGGCTAATGCCGCCATCCTGGCAAAATTTACATCATTGCACCCTGCAGGGCGTTGCCTGTGTTCATTAGCCTACATGGTACAGAAAAGTAGGACGTAAAACTCCATTCATAATATTCAAATGCGTATTTGGTAAATTTAAAATCTGAACTACGAGTACAAATTTCCATTTTAACATGTTAACCTTAAAATTCGTGAACATTGCTTTAACCCTGTGCCAGTGCCTTCTGTTGGATAGTACCTTGTTACCTTTCAACCACTCTAATCACTTTAGAGACTACAGCCATAGTTTCAGTGTACATAAAAGATAGCTTGCCAGGCAAGGTATATATTTTTCTGATTTTCAATAGGGTTCTTCCTTGGTTAATTACAAACACACCAATTTTCATCAAGATAGCTTGCCAGACAAGGTAATATACATAAATATTTAGCAGTACAGTAACAATCACCAGTATGAAATATTCAACCTTCAGTCATACACTTCTTTTGAACTATTTAGGGCGATACTGAATAATATTGAGTATGAGTTATTGCCTTAGTTCTTGAAAACGTGTTCAATCTTTAGCTCGTGAAAACTCTAGAAGACAAATATTCAATCTTCAGCGCTGTAATGAATAATAAAACCAAGTTTTGACAAAATTCAGCAAGATTCATGCCTTCTAGAGTTTTTATGAGCTATAAATTGAACGAGTTTTCAAGATCAAGGGCTATAACTCATACTAAATATTTTTCGATTTTTCTAATTTTCAATAGGCTTTATCCCTGGGTGTTAACAGACACTCAAGCCAAATTTCGTTTTCAAGAACAAGGGCAATAACTCATGGTAAATATTTTTCAATTTTTTGATAGGGTTTATCCTTGGG